TTTGCCGGTGCCCTGGCTGTGGAGCAGCAGGAGCGTCGGTTTCCCCTGGGCCACAGCACCCCGGCCAGAGCTGACAGCCCCGCATGGTGGGGCATTGCCTGCCGCCGGCCCTGTCCCCTCCGTGGGAAGGCTGCGGTTCGGTGCTCCCCGGGCCCGACCCGCAGCTGGTACCGGGAGCAGCAGCGGGGATGGAGCCTGCTCCCCCGGCCCTCTCCGTGCCTCCTAACGCACCCGCGGGGCAGCAACCGGCAGCACAGCCGGTCGTAGGAAGGAGAGAGGGACCAGCTCTGGCCCCATCCGTGGCACCCCACCGGCCCTTGCGCCGTTAGTGCCAGGCCTTCCTCTCCCTGCCACCGGGCAGGGACATGGGGCTTCCCCCACCGCCCTGGCTCTGCACAGGGCTGCAATGACAGGCGAGACCGCTGTATAAAAACACCCCCTTTTGGGCAGAGGCCAGGATACCAGGCACGCTGCCATCTCTTCCCTGTTCCTCCCCCCGAGCTGGGAATGTGGAGGGGGTAAGGGGCTCCAAGGGGCATGCACAGACAGCCCCCAGCCATCCCTGCTGGATGCATCAGAAAGGGATAGGAACGCTGCAGAGCAAAGGAGGACACCCCCTTCTCTGTGCCAGAGCCCCCAACCACTGCTCAGGCTGGACCTTGCACTGGGCCCCTCTTGCAGGAGCAGCTCGTGCTTGGAGCAGCCCTGGCCCCCTGAGGGTGCTGCGGGGTCAGAGGTGCTGGGGTCTTCTGCGCAAGCCCAGCTCGACTAGCTGCCAGAACCACACCCAGAGGAAGCATGGGCCAGGGGCTGTCACCATTTCCTCCAGGTCCCCGAGGAGTGGTCTGGGGACAGGGAAGGTCCTAGCCCACGGCAGCCTGGAGCGGGAGGAGAGGGGCTGGGCAGAGTTGGGCAGAAGTGCCAGCATGCCCAAGGAAAGCGCAGAGCTGAGCCTGTGGTGACACGGGGCACCAGGGCTCCTACCACACCACCGAAGGCAGACAAGGTGCATTGTTGAGCCTGGTTTATTAGTGTCCGTGCGGCTGCCCCTACTACTGATCCACGTTCTTGACACGCAGGACAACAGGCACTGAGGTGCAGGGGATCATGCCCAAGTCCGTGATGACCAGATCCACTAGATCAGGTGGTGTCACATCATAGACCAGGTTGAGGAGGCGCAAGGACTTGTTCTCTGCCCAGCCACCCAGCTGGGCCTGGCCCTTCCGGAGCATGATCAGGTCATCGGGGTCATCTGCAGAAAGAGAAGCAGCTGACAGGATCAGGGGGAGGGACAGCACCTCATCATCCCGCCCTGTTGCCCGCCAGGCCCAACAGCCACCCTTCCTGCGAGTGGTGGCCCCTTGGCCAGGAAGGAGAATGGCAGGGCAGACCAGTCCATCCTGGCCAGCAGCAGGAAGAGGGGACAGGTCCCAGGTGGGAGGAAGGGGACAGAAGCCTTACCCAGCTCGTTGGAGACAAAAGAGTCTGTCTGCACCCGCTCGCAGAACTTGTACGTCTCACAACACACCAGGACGGGCACATTGAAGGCCTTGGAGACCAGCGCTATCTGTGATGTCCCCACCCGGGACATGACAGAGCCGTTGGCCAGGAGCGCATGGGCTCCCAGCAGCACTTTGGACACCTGTCAGGGAAGTGCAAGGATCTGTTAGCGCCTTTTATTATGCTGCAGCCTCCCCCATGCTTGCCACCCTCGGCACAGCCCCGCTCTGCTCCTCACCTCAGGCAGCACGTAAGAAATGGCATTGATCATCACATAGGTGCAGTGAATGCCCTTGCGCACCAGTCGGCGCAGCGTCTCCCGGCCTTCTAGCCGCGGCCGGCTGTCCACCACGATCACACGGAAGGCCCGTCCCTTCTCCACATGGGCGTAACACAGCGTGCGGTTCACAAGGGAAGAGCTGATGGCCACCAATTAGCACAGCTGCCCCCGATGCTGTGCGCTGCTCCCTGCCAGCATGGCCCGGAAATGCAGCCAGTGCCAGGAGACTTTCCTTGGTGCTGGCTCCAGCGCAGGACTCATCAGGTGCCGGCCGGGCAGCAGGTCTCCTGAGCATTAGCATGGGGTCTCGCCCAGGGGACAGCGCTGACATGCGCTCGATGGCAGGGGCTGGCTGCAGCAGAGCAGGCACTGCCAGGTGCCAGCTGCCATGCCAGGTCCTCAGGCACATCCAGCCCAAAGAGAGCAATGTCTCTCTTACCCAGGGTGGGAGCTGGGCTCCCACCGACACCCCAGCGGGCCAGTGCTGCCTGGAGACGAGTGCGGGCAGAGCTGACGTGCACCCCGGGTTACAAGTGCTGCCCCTTCCAGACACTCTCCTGCTACACTCGCTTCCAGGGCTCCCTCTCCCTGTCTTTGCAGAGAATCATCCCCTGGGAAAAGTGATGTCTCAGCCCTCCCTGGAAGCAGCACTGACCTCCACCTGTCCGTGACCACAGCTAGGGACTCCCCCTCCAAACCCTCTCCAGGTTTCCCTCTCAGAACGCTCCAGGCCCGCTCTGACCTCCTGCCCCTGCTCGCTCCTCTGCCGATCACCCAGGAGGCACATCAGATCGGGACTCCGTGTTGCCACAGCGGTCTCTGGCTCCTTTTCCCACCTCTCCTTTCTGGGACACAGTCCCTCGAAGGAAGAACAAGCTTCCGTCTTTTTGCTTCCTGACATCTGACTGTGCTGCAGCTTGTTTAAAACACCAGTAAACAGTCACGGCCGCTCTGTAAATGCCCTGCATTGAAGATGCGGTGAACCTGGGTTTCTTGAAAACACCTAACTCTGGGCACATGCAAACAGAGGACAGTGCCAAGCCCTGAACAGGAACAGCAAAGTCTCACGGACAAGCGTTCGGTACAGTCTTTGCTGACGGCAATGGCTTTAGGCTTCTGTCAGGCGTTTCCCAGCCCAGTCAAGGTGCTGCCCGCTGCAGCCACACTACATGCTGGTGGGTCTGGGATAGTCAAACTGGCAGGTAGTGCAGACTCGGGCATTCACAAGCTGAGCTTGAGATGCTGACACAACTATATTAATCGGTATAGGCTGGTTTAAGGCTACTTGATCAGACCCTCCTGTTCCTTCCTATAACGAGTCCGAGGGTTCCAGTACTTCCAGCATCTAACCTGTCCCAGCGTGTAGAGACAGACCCCTTCGCAGCGCAGCCCTCCAGGGATGCCTGCTTGCAGCCAGGCCTGCCAATACCGTCTGCTGCGCTCTGCAGACACGGTTTAGCATTCCCCTTGGCAGCTGCCAGGCAGAAAGTGCTCTGTCACCACCTCGTGACGCGAGCTCATCAGCCCGCCTGTCTCCCAGGATGGGATGGAAGTCCTAATGAGCTCTCTGCTTTTTCTAAAGCACTAACAATACTCCCACATCCAGTTAGCAAGTGCTGATGCCAGGGCCATGCTCTGCTCTGTCCTGACACCCTCACACATCCACAGTTCTGTCCCGCCCCACTGGTCATAATTAAAGGCAGGAGGGAGACGTTTATCAGCTCCCCACCACAGCCAAGTTCTACCCCTCACTGCCCCCTCCCTGCTTGTTTTATTTCTAGTTGCTGGACCCAGAGCTGCAACCCCTCCCTCTCCCTTGGGCAATGCTGACTTTCCCACCCTTGAAAAACTACTTTTGCAAGAGCTTTCCGTCTTCACTCAACTGCTCCATTTCCTTTTCCCACCCACTGGCCTGGCTGCCCTGGCTCTCCTCTTACCATCCATACACCAGGATCACATCGTTGTCATTTATCTTCTCAAAGGCAGACCTTGAAATGGCTTCAGCTGCCAAAAGAATCTTCTCACGCAGATATTTGTCGATAGTGCCCTGCAGCTTGTCCTTTGCCTGGGGGAGACAGTGCCAGCACAAACAGCATGGCCTCACCACACCGCAGACACTCTGCTGTCCCTCACAGCCTGGCAGGACTGTGGGCTCAGCTCTGCCTGCAAGCACAGAGGCCTGCCCTGCTCCCAACCAGCCTGTTTGCTGAATGGCACCTTCCCCTGGGACAGCGGCTCTGCAGGACACACAGGGCCACTCCTGTCCCAGCACAGGTTCGAGCTGCCATCAGGACCTCCCCAGCTCTGCCCATTACCTCCCCTGCACCTTCTGGATCAGCTGCTCTGGTCCTCAAGCTCAGCCTCCCAGCCTGACTCCTCTGAGCCCACTAGCCATGCTGCCCCAGGGGCCCTTGCAGCCATCTCCTGGCATATACCACCGCCCTGCCCCTTGCTCCGCAGCCAACGGGCTCTTGTGGAGCTTTTTGCATGGGACATAGCTAAGCACTGAAAAAAAGACATTCCTCTTCATCTGTGACTTTACTGATGCTGTCAGACGATGCTCTCACAGGCAGTCCTGGAGGGCAAGGGCAGCTCATGGTGCCCAGCTGCTGTGGCCTTCCTGCAGGGCACAGCACCAGCCAGACCAGCCTGCAAGTCCTCCAGCTGCTCAAGAGTCACCTCCCGATGCAGGTGCAATGCTGGTTGCTGGCCAGGCCTGTGGTGCAGTGCTGCGTTCACTGAGACCACGTGCGCCTGCTGCAGCTTCTCCCATTTTACGTCCCTGCTCCTGACAAATGCCAGTCCTACCAGCCCCACGACACTAACAGCCCAGCATTGGCTGCAGTGCACCCCAGCCCCTTCGGGTGCTGGCAGAGGGGGAGCAGGTCTGGCCGCACTCAGGCCGTGGCTGGCGACACTGATGGCCAACTCTTCTAGCTTCACTGCAGCGCTGCTCCCAGTCTGCATCCCGCCACCTCTCCCTGCTTATCCTGCGCCAGGGCTGACCCTCTACCCTGTGCCTGCAGGCAGAGGGCTGGAGCCTGCTGCTGGCATGAGGCCACTCACCTCCTCCTCTCTCAGGGTGTCAGGCAGGCACGAAATCTCCTTCTTCAGGAACTTAATAGCATTGCCCATGCTGGCTGAGAGGGGCCGGCACTGGTTCAGGAAGCTGCAGAGAGGAAATGGGCTTAGCTCCAGAGCAGCCTGGAGGGCAGGGACAGGAAGAGAGAGGGTGCAGCTGGGCTGGAGATTGTAGGCAGGGAGGCAGAACCTAGAGCCCCAGGAACGTCAGCCCAAGTTTGGGTGGATACCAACCCAGAGAGGCGACCGATGGACCACGCTCAGAGGAGCTTCAGTCCCTCTGCTCCAGCACTGGGAGCCCTCACCTGATGTGTGGCTTCAGCTTGGCCACCAGGTCCCGTGACAGCTCCTCATTGGGGGGTGTTGAGTAATCCCGGATCAGCTGAGACAAGAAGGAAAAGAGCGTGAGTTCAGGCCACCTGCCCCTTCTGGCCAGGCAGACCACTCTCGCGCAGGAGGCTGCAGACCAGGCACAAGCATGTACCGCACAGCTTGACACCCTTTCACAGGGGAGGCAAAGGGGTGCTCCAGGAGCTCAAACCCGCAGCGTCAGTACCAGAACAGGACACCAGCAGGGCCCAGCCCTGGCACGGTCAGAAGGAAGAGGCTGAAGATGACTGAGCACAGATGCAGCCCCAGTAGTCAGGGAACAGGAAGGGATACGGGCGCCTGGTGCAACGCCCTTACTGCCTGGTGGGCATGGGTAACTGCTCACATACCTGTTTGAAGACTTCCAGCAGGGCGATGCAACGGGCGTTGGAGCCATTGATGATGCCCTGGGAGTACTGGAGGCCAAGGCGCACCACAGCCGGGTGAATTACCATGGAGGGGATGCTGCAGGGACAAACGCGACAGAGCTGTCAGCACTGGCCCTCTACAGCCCAGGAACAATCAACCCATTGCCAGGCCCCCAGCCAAACAACCTGAGGGACAGCTCGAAAAAGGAGCTGTCAGTCCAGCCCCTACTTGCCCTGTGACCTGAGGAGTCAGGCTAACCCCACAGCCCCTGCTCCCCTGGCCCTGCACTGCCCGAGGGCAGCTCTCCTCACCTCACAAGCAGGACATCAAACCAAGCAAAGTGGTCCCACTCCATCCCATCCAGCCCCAGGATACCCTTCACTACAGCCATTTTTCAGCCAGCCCAGCCAAAACAGAGCCCAACGATTGCCAGGGGCCTGGGCTGGGGAAGCCACGTACCTCATCTGCTGTGTCAGTGGCTTGTTCCGGCTGTACTGGTGCAAGTGGGAGAACAGGTTGACCTTGGTGCCATAATCCTGCCTCAGAGGTATCTGTAGCCAAAAAGCATTGATGATGGCTTACCCAAGCCTGCCATACAGCCCTGCTCACTCCAGCATCAGCAATCACACCCAGTGATTGCTTGCGGCACACCAGGAAGCAGGCCCTAGTCCCACTATGCGTGCAGCCCGATGCCAGCAGACACGCCACAGCACGGCTGCTCTGTAGCATGCAGCCCATTACCCAGTGCCCCTCCTACCTGCTGCCGCTCCAGCTTCTTGGCCAGTTTTCTCTGGGCTGCAGGGTCATCCACCTGCACGTGCTCCGGCAGCCGCTTTACCACTGTGAGGATAGCGGGGAGTGTGGCATGAGGGGTCACCGCCCGGGTGCAGCCCCCAGCCCAGCCACACTGCCCCAAGACTCAGGAAAGGCCCGGCAGGGCAGCACCCAGGGCACCATGTAAGGATGGGATGGGCAGCCCCTGCAGGCCCCCGCCCAAGCCCCCTCCCTCCCTACTCACCCACCCACCCTCTG